TCCCCTAGTCTGTTGCAAACGGATGCTTTTGTAAGAATGTAACAGAAGGAACACGAGGCGCAGTGAGTTAAGTCACTGCCTGCAGTGCCAGCATCCTATACCAGAATGCTGGTTCAAGAATTTTTGTCCCAGCCTCTGCTTCCCACCCAGCTCCCTGCTAATGCACCTGGGAAGACAGTGGGAGATGGTCCAAGTATCTGGGCTCCTGCACTCACAGGGGAGATCTGGATGGAGCCTCGGGTTCCTGGCTTTGGCATAGCCCCACCCTGACAATTGCAGTCATTTGGGGAGTGAATCAGTGTGTGGAAGATCTCTCTGTCTTTCTCTGCCTTTCACATAAATAAATCATTTTTTAAAAGAATAGAATAGAAATAAATTATCAGAAGAAAATCACTGTGTACTTGGAAATGACAACCAATGTCAAGTAGCTACCACACTTTAATATGTACTCTGAATTTTTGTTCCGTGGATCTGGGAGAAGGGGCAAACAAACAGTCCATGTGCCAGCATCCATCAGAGGCCACCTTGAGTCAGAGTGACCTAGGTGGTGCTCTCCCCTTCCTGAGTCAAGAGGGTGGGGACAGCTTAGCAGCTTCCAGCCCTGGGTTACTGCATATCCTCTCGAGGTCTCCCATACCCTATCCATCTCTTTTTGATTTGTCCATTAATAAATACCATCTTTTTTAAGATTTATTTATTTGAAAGTCAGGGTTACTCAGAGAGAGAAGGAGAGGCAGAGAGAGAGAGAGGTCTTCCATCTGCTGGTTCACTCCCCAGATGGCCACAATGGCTGGAGCTGAGCTGATCTGAGGGCAGGAGCCAGGAGCTTCTTTTGGGTCTCCCACGTGGGTGCAGGGCCCAAGTACTTGGGCCATCTTCTACTGCTTTCCCAGGCCACAGCAGAGCTGGTTGGGAAGTGGAGTAGCCAGGACTCGACCGGCACCCGTATGGGATGCCGGCACTGCAGGCGGTGGCTTTTCCCACTACACCACAGCGCCAGCCCGATAAATACCGTCTTTATTGTTGTGAACACATCTTCTGCCCCTGGAGGACCACAATGATTCCGAGAGTTCTCCTACGAGAGCAAGGTTTAAAAATGTGAGAAAAGTTCAAGGAGCTGGGGGCACAAGAACAGGGTGGGCAGCCTGGTTTGGGAGCCCAGCTCAGGAGAGATTATGGCCAGCCCTTGAAGGCTGTCCAGTGCACAAGGGGCTTGGGTGGGGCTGTGTGTTAGTGGAACACGGCAGGGGGCGCTGCTGAGAACGGACTTGTAGGGAAGCATAGGCAGAGACAGAGAGCCTGTTTGGAGGCTGCTACTTCCATCAGGGTCAGCAATGGGCAGGTGCCCGCAAAAGCCCACCAGTGGAGCTGAGGGCAGGGAGGGGTTGGGGAGGCAGAAGCTCCCAGCGGGAGAGCTGGGCTGTGGGCAGGAGCGAAGGGCCAGGGCAGGCTCCCAGGATCCAGCCTGGGGGATTGATGGGTGGTGTGTGCACAGGGGCACACCGATGGGACTGGAATTCCATTTCAGTCGCTGGTGTTTGCATAGTGCCCTTTGCACGTGAGTTTAATGCAGTTTGTCTATTGGCCGCTCGGAGGTGGGTGTGGTCTTGCTTTTTTATAAACGATATTTAAAGGACTGTCTTTTATTTTATTTTTTGGAAAAGCAGAGTGTGAGCAAGAGAGAGAAAGTGGGGTGGGGAGAGAGATCTGTAATCCCCTGGTTCACTCTTCAAATGTCCATGATAACCAGGGTAGGACCAGACCAAAGCCAGGAGCCAGGAGCTTCTTCTGGGCCACCCATGTGGGTGGCAGGGACCCAAGTACTTGAGCCATCTGCTCCTGCCTCCCAGGGTGCGTGCACATCAGCAGGAAGCTGGAATTGGAGGTGCAGCTGGGGCTCCAGCCCGGCAGCCTGAGTGGCGATCTTGCTTTCCTGTGGTCTTGCTTTTGATGAGCCAGTGAGGGCTCTGGATCCCAATGAATCCAATCTGCTCTCAGCCCTGTCATCCCACCAGGGGACACGCAGTCAGTTTCTCTTCCTCCCTCCGTAAACAGGAATAGGAACTTGCTTGGGGGCTTGTCGGGAGGTTGAATGAGATATTGCCTGTGAGCCTCCTGGCACAAGGTCAGTGCTCTGCTCTGAGTGTCAGGGGCTGCTTGGGGGCGGTGGGCTCTGCCTGCCCTCAAGTCTCCCCAGTGCCTGCTGCCCCAACACACACACACACATGCACACACATGCACGCATGCACACACACATGCATGCACACACTCACAGCCCTGGGACGAGGGACCCAGGAGCTGCCTTCCCCCTCTTCTTCCTGATCCTAGGACGTCCCTGTTAGCAGCACAGCCCACATGCAGCTCCATCACATTATGACTTTTTTCGACCCAGGAGGCAAGAGGGAGGGAAGCAGGATCCCCACAAAGTGGCCCAGAGAAGGCAGGAAGATGAGGTGCGTCTGAGAAGCAGCATGGCCCTGGAGCCACCTTTCTGGGTTGGGTCCCATCTCTGTCACCTACTAGCTGGGCATCCTTGGGAAGGTGGCTTGACCTTTCTGTACCTTAGTTTCCTAACTGTAAAGTGGAGAAGGTAATAATCCTAATTACAGAGGATTAAATGAGAATTGATCCCTCTAAGGATCTCAGGATGGTGCCCAGCACAGGGTAAAGCCTCAGGTTAACTGCACTTTTTTAAAAAAATTATTTATCTAAAGGTAGAGTTACAGAGAGAGAGAGGGTGAGTGAGAGTGAGAGAGAAATCTTCCATCTGCTGGTTCAATCCCCAGATGGCTGCAACAACCAGGGATGGAGCAGGCTGAAGCCAGGAGCTTCATCCAGGTCTCCCACATAGGTGCAGGGGCCCAAGCACTTGGGCCATCTCCCACTGCTTTCTCAGGTGCATCAGCAGGGAGCTGGATCAGAAGTGGGGCTGATAGGACATGAACCGGTGCCTGTATGGGTTGTTGGTGTCGCAGGTTGCAGCTTTACCCACTACTCCGCAGTGCCAGCCCCGTAACTGCTCTTCTTTCTTTGTTAGCAGTGGGGTCTGCTTCCCAGGAGAAGGTGGCTAACCACTGAGTTGACAGGGCTCAGGGTCCATTCCCCATGTCCTGGGGTCATTGAGAGGGCGAAGTGCGAGACTGGAGCCCCAGGGTGCCTCACACCATGGCTGCCTGTGCTCTTCTCTGTCCACGCCCGGGGAAGGGGCTGCAGCGCCCCCTGCAGACTGAGGCCGCTCTGCTGGTTCCTCTTCGTCTCACTTGCAAAATGCCGGACCTCAGGGAATTGCTGGGGACTGAGTGGGTTGAGCGGCACATGGTGGCCTTTTGGGGTTTGCTCTTGCGACAGTCACTGCTCTCGGCGTGCTGGGCTTCTGCCTCTCCAGTTCCTTCTTAGCCCTGAGGGGGCAGGAGCCAGGCTTTGGAGAACACGTGTGTCCCTGAAGATCCAGCCATACAGGGCTCCTGGGGCCTTATCCAGCCGGTGGCCCACCCACAGAGGAGCACAAGCTGTGTCGCTGTGCCACAGGATGGGCCAAGGCAGACCCATCAGTGAACTGAGGAAAACTACCCCCATACCTGTCACGCAGGGAGTACCAGGCCCAGACTGTGGACCCAGAAACTAGTGTTAAGTCCCTGCTGCCTGGTCCTAGCAGTCCCAGCTGTGTGACTTCAGACAAGTTGGCATCTCTGAGCCACAGCCGTTTCTCCTCTGTGAGCCGGGAGCGCCGAGGACTTCCACGAAGCCCGTGGCAAACGTGGCTGGGGAGGCCGCCAACAAACGGGGAGGTCCTGCCTGCGGGGTCCTTTCTGGGTCCTCCTTGTGGCCTGGCCTGCTGCCAGCGGGTGCTAGGGGCAGCGGGGCAGGGAGCATGGGGGCAGGGTCTGCTCCGGTCTGGCCTCCCCCGCAGCACAGCGGGTGGCCTCCCGGGCTCCGTTGTGATGGCTGTCGATATCTGTCTGTCAGGTCTCATCCTGCACTCTAGGGTCCTCCCAGACGGAAGTCTCCAGGCTTCAGGCTTCGGATTTCCTATTTGAGGTCTTAATTACATTGTCTGGCTCAGGTTTGAGGGGTTGATGGGAGCTGATGGGAGCAGGGGAAGCGAGCGGAGGGAGGGGCTCCAGGCCCCAGGGCCGTGTTTCTGCACATGTGTCTTTGAGAGCGACCAGACGGCAGAAGGCATGGTAAGGACGGTGGCGATGGGGCTTCTGTCCGAACAGGAACCCCCGGCTGCCATGGACGGGCCCAGTGTGGGGAGACAGAGCTAAGGTGAAGGGGCCGGCCCACCTCTTCCTGACTGCCATGCCTGTGGCAGAGGGTTCGTCCCTTCTCCCCTGCCTCCAGGTCCTGTCTGCTTGGACCCCCCTGCGCCAAGGGGGAGCCCTCTTTGGAGAGGAGGTGGTGTTGAATGCTCGGGGCTGGGCCTTGTGCCTGGCACAGTGCCCGGCCCTGGGAGCGGGCTCCGTGTCACAGGTGGTCCTGATGCACCTTGGGGCACTGGGGTGGGCTAAGGGGCTGGGGCTGCCTGGCACTCACCACCGGCTTCCCACAGACCCAGGGAAGAGTTGCAGCTGCTGAGGGGAGGGGCAGGGGTCGCTGCTCTTCACTCCTTAATCTCTCTGCCTCTGTCCCTCCCCCCTCCCCTCCCTGTGTGTCCTCTCCCAACTCTGCATGAGTCTCCCCCTCCTCCCCCTCTTGCCCCCTACCTCTAAATGCCTCCCCTGTCTCTCTATCCACTGTGCCCCCTCTCCTGCCCTGCTCGTCACACCTGCCACCTTTTTGTCTCTGGGTCCCCCCACCACCACTCCCCCTACCTCCATCTGGCACCCGTCTGTCCACGTGGCTCCCTTGTTACCTCCACCTGCCTGCTTGTTCCCTTACCTGGGTCGGAATGGTTCATCTCTCTCCTCCTCACTGTTCCCTGTGTTCCATCCTCGTTGCCTGCCCCTCTCCTCTCCCTACCACTGCTCACCTTCTGTGTACCCCTGGCCCCACCCCAGGATGATCCCAGCCTCCAACAAGGCCTTCTTGGTCAACAACCTGGTGTCGGGGACTGGCTATGACTTGTGCGTGCTGGCCATGTGGGACGACACGGCCACAACGCTCACAGCCACCAACATCGTGGGATGCGCCCAGTTCTTCACCAAGGCCGACTACACGCAGTGCCAGTCTATGCACAGCCAGATCCTGGGAGGCACCATGATCCTGGTCATCGGGGGCATCATTGTGGCCACACTGCTCGTCTTCATCGTCATCCTCATGGTGCGCTACAAGGTCTGCAACCAGGATGTCCCCGGCAAGATGGCTGCTGCCGCCGTGAGCAACACATACTCACAGACCAATGGGTCGCAGCCGCCACCTCTGTCCGGTGCACCTGCTGCGCAGCTGCTCCAGGGGCCGCCCAAGGTGGTGGTGCGGAATGAGCTCGCCGACTTCACTGTCAGCCTGGTTCGAGGCACGGACTCTTCTTCCTCCAGCTCCCTGGGCAGCGGGGAGGCGGCGGGGCTGGGCCGGGGCCCCTGGAGGCTCCCTCCTCCTGCCACCCGCCCCAAGCCCAACATTGATCGGCTGATGGGAGCTTTTGCCTCCCTGGACCTCAAGAGTCAGAGAAAGGAGGAGCTGCTTGACTCTAGGACTCCAGCCGGGAGAGGGTCTGGGACACCGGCCAGGGGCCACCACTCAGACCGAGAGCCACTGCTGGGGCCACCGGCAGCCCGTGCCAGGAGCCTGCTGCCTCTGCCCCTGGAGGGCAAGACCAAGCGCAGCCACTCCTTTGACATGGGGGACTTTGCAGCTGCCGCCGTGGCTGCGGGAGGGGGCGCCCCTGGTGGCTACAGTCCCCCTCGGAGGGTCTCGAACATCTGGACCAAGCGCAGCCTCTCTGTCAATGGCATGCTGCTGCCCTTTGAGGAGAGTGACCTCCTGGGGGCCCGGGGCACTTTTGGCAGCTCCGAGTGGGTGATGGAGAGCACAGTGTAGACCGGGGGTGCGTGGGGGGGTGCTCCCTCCCCGTCACAGCCCCTACAGGGTGGGAGAAGAAAGGGGAAGAATCCTTACTGGCAAGTCTTTGTGGGGTTTCCATGGTGATGTTTACATCCAGGGCCTCTCGTCCCTCCCTCCCCAACCACCACGTCCCGCCTCACTGCCCCAGGCCCGTCCCCGAGCCAGCCGGGGTGCTCAGGGAATGTGGACTCGCGTGGACGCTGAGCGCCGAGTGGCTGGAAAGGCGAGACTCCGCCTTTCTCATCACAGATGTAGCGTGCCAGCAAGCGGCTTCGGATTGCTGTGGGTCCCAGTGTGGTTTTTTTTTTTTTTTAATTTCTGAATTTATGTTTTCCATTTCCCAGACTCCTTCTCTTCATTTGCTATGTGTTCCCAGCAGCCTCGGGGGTGGGCGGGTGTCGCCATCGGACACAAGATGGGAAGGACCCTGCTTCCACACTTGCTTGGGGGGAGACTGGAGGCCACTTTCCAGAGCCCTCATGGGTCCCAGCCACCCTCCCACCCCGCACTGGGAGGCCTGGGTGACCCCGAGGCCTGTCTGTCACCAGAGCTTTGCAAACATGACACCCCAGAGCCATCACAGCGGCTTACACACAAAGGGCCACTTCCAACATTGCAGGGTGCCAAGGAGAAGGGCTGTGGGCTGCAGGGCAGATGGGAGTCTCTGGACCCACTTGGGAGTTTTTGTCTCCTTCCTGTGCAGCCAGAGCAGGAAGCCCCCAGGAGCGTGCATGAGGTCAGGGGGCTTCTCTTAAGGAGGGCCCTTTGGGACAGGGCTCCAGAGCCACTGACTAATCTGCTGAAGAACCTAGCTGGCTTTGGACCCCCGTTTCCTAAGTGGCCAGATGCAGGGATTGTGTGCACAGGCTCTCAGAGGGAAAATTCTAGAAGTGCTGCAAGAAAGCCCGGACTTTTCAGAATAGCAGAGGTGTCTGTGGTCATCCTGCCCTTAATGCTCTCTCCCCCTCCCCCAGAGCAGAGGGACTTGCCCAAATCCCTGATGTTAATCAGCAGGAGGGTCGGACCCGCCTCCCAGGATGCGGTGTGGGACCCGTGGCCCTGACTTAATGCCGTTGTGTGCCCCGAGTCAGCCCCGTGTTTGTTTCTGAAGGAGGCGGCTCAGCGTGGCACATGGCAGGTGCCTCCTCTGGGTTCCGGAGGAGGGAGGGGTCATCCACAGAAATGACAGGTGGGGAATGAGAGGCTCGCGTGGACTCCTATCTGCTGGGAGGCTAGCTCCACACTCCCAGATGGCCAGGGAGAATTGACCTCGGACAAATGTCAGCACTGGCCCCCGCACCTGTGCCCCCCGGCCTCTGTTTGCATCTAGGTCTCCCCTCCTTGCTGACTCACTGCCTCCCCCTCCTTTCCCTCTGTTACCACCTCATTCTTCCCTTTCCCAAGACTCCTCTTTAAACTGCTATGCTCTCTCTCTCTCTCTCTCTCTCTCTCTCTCATTCTTCTCCTTCCTTCTCCCACTGGCCAGCCACACAGCCCACCCAGCATGTGGGTGAGACCATTCTGGGCCTGAAAGTCCTGATGGGCTCATGCCTGGACGTGAACTGCACCCCTCAACCCCAGCACGGTGGGGGGGCAGAGCTTGGGGACTGTCTGTCGGCTCAGGACTGCCTTCCAGCCCCGCCCTGCAGCCTCCCGCGCCAGGCCTGAGCCCATCCTCGCTCTCCTCCCTCTCCTCTTGACCCCTTTTCCCATCTCACCTTCCTGCCACTCTCTCCACGTCATTCTTCCTTGTTCCTCTCTGTCTTCCCCAGTCATTGTCTGCTCCCGCCAAGGTCATTAACACACCAGGTCAGCCTCTCCTGAGAAGCAAATCGATTTGCCAGGCCAGTGCCAGGGCTGGAGCACATTCCTTCCCGAGTCGGAGCAGCTCCCCTAGAACCAGGACACGTGGAAGGAGGCCTCCCCCGGCCCCTCCCCCCGCGCCCCCTCTTTTTCACTCTGCGTTTCTCCCGTCACCTTTCAGGATGCAGCTGTTGCGGATATGGTCTCCAACACCACGTTCCTTTTCCCCTTTGGGTTCCAACACACAGAGGAAGGGGCTGGGGTCGACCCCCTGTTCTCATCAGCGGCTCTGAGCTCTTGCTGTGACACTATAGGTCCCTACCCTGGTATTTGCCATGTTCCTGACTTGGAGTTTTGGGAAGTAGCATCCCTGTGGTCAGATGATCGGTGCCGATCTTCTCCTTTGCCAAGAAGAAGAAACTACAGTACAATGTACGGTTTCAAAACCCACCACCAACAACGCTTCTTGGGAGGGAGACCATTGTCCCAAGTCTGTGAATATCTGCTTCATTTCCCTGGAAACTGGGGCTTTCTGAAGATGACTTGGAAGTGGCATTTTCTGTTGCACCTGTGTTTCTGCCAGGTGGGAGCCTGCCCCTGCCAAGTTCATGAATAAGCTGGGGAGTCTGAAACAGGAGTGGGTGGGGACATCCATTCAAGGTACAGAGAGGGGCAGGAGGCTGGAGGGAAACTCTGGACTGAGAAGGGGAGAGGCCAGCTGCCCACACTGTCCCAAGTGACCTCTCTGGTCTCTGGTATACCAGCCGGAACCTGCTGTCTCCTGGGCTGTGGCTACCACTACACCTGGCCACTAGGGGCGTATGCCTATCTTCCATCCATGTTGGTTGTGCGCAGGAGGCAGTTTTTTTCAAAAGTGTCTTTTACTGGGCAACAGCGAGAGAACAAACCCAAAAACCAAGGCATAGAAATAAATGAGCTTCTGGAACACAGCTTCCCAAGTCTTGCTGATGCCCAGACCAGCGCTGCCGGTGGGATGGAAGAGAAGATGAGCCGCACCGCCCTTTTCAGTGCTCAGGTAGTCACATGAAAGCACTCACTAGGAAACAGGTGAAATTCATTTTAATAGCACTTAACCCAACATATCCCAAACATTGGTCCAACATGTAATCCTTATAAAATCAGTAGTAAGACATTTTATGATCTTTTTTTTTCCCTGTACCAAGGTTTGGAAACCTGGTGCACATGCCACACTTAGGGCCACACCAATGCAGCCTGGCCAGCTTGAAAGGGCTTAAGAGCCGTGTGTGTGGCAGGTGCTGGCCACGGCAGTGGGCAGCAGGGCTCTGGCATGGCCAGTGACTGATGTCAAGGCGCGGTGTTTGGAAGGGGAGAGGAGCCAGCCCTCGCAGGAGCCTGCGGCCTCCAGGCGCTGTGTCTGGTGCTGCGCGTGCGTTCCCCTCTGAATCCTCACCCCAGACTTTCAAGGTGGATGTTATTATGATGCCGCCTGGACAGATGAAAAAACCGAGGCCCAGAGGCTTCAGTAACTTGCCCACAGACACACAGCCGGTCTGGGTACACAGCCAGCGCCTACTCCCTGCCATCACACTGTCCCCTTCTCCTTGCTGCCTTCTTCAGTTTGCAATAGATTGTATTTTGCACTGAGTGAACTTCTCAGACTTACAGTTTGGAAACCCTTGCTCTGACCTCAAGGCCTGGTAGAATCCCCCGAGTGCTGAGTGCAGGTAGGAGCCCCCCGATTCTGTGGCCCCTTCCAACCTCACCTGGGCCTTTCTGGCCCTTCTCTGTCCTGGCCACGAAGACCCCTTCAGGATTCAGATGGCCTTGCCCAGCCTGTGCTCTGCTGTCCCTCTCCCCTCTTGTGACCGCCAGGAGGGCCCTTGTTTACTGAGCTCCCTCCCTGCTCAGTGCCATCTACGAGCCCCGACTTCTTCCTCTTAGGTAAGAGGCCTCACAGACGCGTGTTGCTACGACCCAGCCCTGCTCCTCGCCTTTTCCTAGTCCCTGTCCGCTGCCCCCCGCCCCCAGGTCCTGAGAGAGGGCAGCCCTCAGCTCTCTGATCTTTGGCAGAAGAGATGGCTGACACAATATGAGGGGTCTTCAAAAGAATTTATCAGAAATGCATATTATGACAAAACTACACACGGATTCCAAATTTTTTTTTGACCAAAACAATTTCAGTTCCATTTCCCATGGGTTTTCGGGAGCCTGCTTGATTATTAAGTTTTTGGTAAATGTCTACCTCTTTCCCCATAGTCTTGATAATGACACATCTGTTGGGTTCCCCTCTAAGGAAACAGCTACTGTTTTTCCATCATTACAGTGTTGAAAACCCAAAAGACGTTAGGCACACACTCTTTTTTTTTTTTTTAAGGGAGATAATTTTCAGGCAAGTAAGAGGGAGGTCACTGTCCCATTTCCCCTTTCTCCTAAAGCCGCAGGCATTGATTTCTCCTAAGCACAGCCCGGGCGCTTTCCTGTCCCCCGACCTCCGTGTCAGCAGCGAAGGTCTGAGGGCTGCAGCCGTCTGGGTGGAGTGTCCTCTGTTCTTGCTGCTTTTGGGATTTCTGCGAAGTGCGTCAGAGAAAAGAGACACACTGATTCACAGGGAAGCCTGCTTGCAGGCAGTGGGCGGAACCTGAGCGCGCACTTTGGAATATCGCACCTCAGTTCCCAAGCCCAGCCATCGCATGTGACGTGCTTGGCGGTGAGGGACACAGGTTGTGACACGATGGCTTCTCACAGGTGAATACCCGAGGGGTCTACTTTTGCATAATAAAATCAGCCCCAACTGGCTTGTTCTCCCAACATCTAACAGGAAAACCCCCCTCCCCAGTTTAACAACACCTATTTGTGCTTTCAGCCTTGAAGGCAAAGATTCTAGTTTGTCAGCTTCTGCCATCTCACAGCCAGCCAGTCAGTGATTACCATAAGGCCAGCAGGTGCCCCTTCCTTGGAGCTTCTAGTACAGGGAAGTCCACAGGCTTCCTCCAGACCAGAGAGAGGAGCTGGTGCTTACCCAAAAAGCCATACTGGGGCCCCCATCTTAGCCATTCAGGGCCTTCTGACAGGTCAGCGTGCTCATCTTCCTTCTGCTCATCAATTCTAGACACGCAAGCCCAGACTGAAGGTTCTTTGCTGTTCTTGTTGGGACAGTGCATGTCCTGGTCCCTTTAGCCAATAGCTGCAGGGGCGCTTGGCAATGCAGAGCCAGCCTTTTTCTCTACCATCTCACTCTGCAGGGTGAGGGGTAAAGGAGATCTCCGACGGAGACACAGCGGCATGCTTCCCTCTCCATGAGGGGGCGGGGCTGGGATTTCCCCCATCTCCATGGATTCCCCAAGCCCATCTGGCCCACACTGCCAGCAGCTCACTGCCCAGCCCCCCAGAGCCTGGGTGCCTCCGTCCAGGCCGTCCACTGGCCAGTTGGTGATGAACGCATCCCTTCTACTGCACGTCCTCTGTAGCAGGTGTTCATCGGTACTCCCTGGGAACACCCAGCAGTGACCCTAACATTTAAGTACATTGTAATGTAAGGGTGATTTCTTTCCCTTTACTGCCCTGGGCTATGTCCAAGATGTCCCCTGTTCCCCAAACCATGGTTTCCTCTGTTGGCTGGCCTGCCTGCCACTCTTTCCACCTTCTCATGAAAGCAAAACTTCAGAACCCTTCACCTGGTTCCCCATCAGAGTCAGCACACACAGCAACAAGCAGGTGTGATGCTCTCCACTTGAGAAGAGAGACGATCGAGAAGGGATTTGTCTCTGGTTACATCCATCAGGCCTGTGGTGCTGTCTTGAGGACAAGGTTCTGCCTGTCTACCAAAGATGGCTGGATGTCTTCCCTATGCAGACAAATGACGGGAATTTCTCATCCCCGCATTAGTGAGTTGTGAGGCTGGCATTTTTCAGGTGGCTATTGGACTGCTCATGCAATGGATCATCATAGCTGACATTTATTTAGGGTTTCATTCTTCTGAGAGTCGTGTATGGATTTTCTCACTTTATCATCAGAACACCACAATGAAGTCAGGGTTGTTATTATTGTCATCGCCCCCATTGGGGAAGCCAAGGTGGAGAAGGGTTGAACAGCTTGCCCAAGGTCATGCAGCTAGTGAAGGGATGAACAATGCATTCGATTGCAGAGCTGGGTGAACAATGCATTTGACCTGCAGTTACCTGCAGATTTGCCGGGGAGATTCAAAAGGCAGAACTATCTGGGTTTTATGTGAATCTTGGCATGTGAACTTTAACTTGCAGCAGAGCCCAGCATAAAAGAGATGGGGAGAACTTGGCCTGCACTCACTCAGCCTGCCCGGCACAGCGCCTGGTCCAGAGAGAAATAAAAGTGGAGGGCACTGTGCATCCCTTAAGGGCTTCAGTTTCCCTGAGAGGGAGGACAGCAGTTGGCGTCTAGATCCCTGGTTATACACAGATGTGTCTGCTCTCACTCATCTCCAGGTAACCTCCAGCTCTGGGGAAGCGACTCTCCAAGAGGTGGACAGATTGGATAGGGCCACACAGCCCAAGAGAGCATCCCTGTCCTGGAGGAATTTGCTAGATTTTTAAGTTCCACCATCCTTACTCAAAGGAGGCAATTAAGCCTGGCTTCAGGAAGTGATTGGCTTTGAGTGAAACAGGGACCCATTCCAGACTGGATGCCTGTAGCAGACAAACAGGGGCTGAAGGAGTAACTGTAGCTATCCCAGGAGTTTTTGAAGGGGACAGGGAAGGGGTGGAGGGAGCAAAGCAGGCCCGGAGGAGAGGCGGGTACAGAGAACTGGAAGTCCTCGTAACCCAAGGCAGACACGGCTGTGGTGGTGGATGCTGTTTAGTGGGCGGAGCTAGCTGAGGGCTTGTTTCTTGGCCTCTGTGTCCTTTTTGGTAAAGTGTCAATGGTAAGTATGGACTTGAGTAAGTACATCTGTGGTTATGTAGCTTACAGATCAGATTGGAAAAGGCAGAGTGTAACAGTCATTATTATTAATGATATGCATCACTGAAAACATTATCATAAATGTAGCATATTAATGAAGGTATTAGGTATGTCAGGCTCACAGAATCTCAGGGCAGACAAATGCTGTCAGAGGCCATCCACTCCAGCCTCCTCTGATGGCTGTGAGAACCTCATTATTATGTCTAATAATTTCAGTATCTATGAAAATGCTTATTAATCTTCTCACAAGAAAAATCATGCAAGATGAATTTCAGAATTCTCCTGGGGCAGGGAGTGGCCCCCTGTTCATCAGACACACCAAGGCCTGATGAAAAAGCAGTGTCTGTGACACTGAGAGAGGCAGGACAGAGTGAGGGCGTGTAGCCTCTGCAGCTCCTTCCTCTAAATGCAGACAGCAAGTGAGCTGGGCCCTCACCCTGCCACTGGACACCTGTGTCCTCCCAGGGAGCGTCTCCTGACCCTGCCCCCGCATCCCCCACTACTACCCTCACCCGCCCCCTCACCCCTTCTTCCTGCTTAGCTCACAGTGGATGCTATTGTGTCTGACCCCTGTCCAGCTAGAGAAAGTGGCCCTGGACAGCTGAGAGGGCCTCAGGTCTATGCAGGATTCTGGCAAGATTGCCCTCTTTTCAGCCATGATCTCAGAAGCATCTAGAAGGATCTAGAAAATTCCAGACCTCACTCCTGGGTAGAAGATGGCCATTCTGCCTTCCCCCACCCACACATCTTACTCAGCCTTTATCTGTATTCTCAGGAACCAGCATAACCCCCAAAATCTACTCACCAGGGCCCTGGAACGACACAAACACTGCCACCTAAAACCTCCTACTGGTGTTCCTCCATCCTTTGGGTTAGCAGTTTTCCCCTTCTGGGATGAGAAGTCACCCAGTAAGAGCCTGCTTCTGTTCAGAGTTGAAAGTAGGCCAGAGTTTCCTCACTCGAGATAGGAGTCGAGCATCTGCCACGGGGTGATACGACTTGACACCTGGGAGGCCACTGACCAACCCCTTCAGCCTCCACTTAATACCCAAAGCCCCTCCAGCTCAAGCACTAGTCATGGGCTTCTTGTGGGAAGATTAAAATTGGTTCCTAATTTGTTCTTTACTTTGCAAACATCACACCAATCCCAAGAACACTGGAGAAGTGATTTCATCCGACCTCAAGGTCAGAGGGGGTTGGCTGAAGTCTGCCTGGTAGAGCTGACACTTCCCAGCTTGCTTTAAGGAGAGCTGGGGTACGACAGGACACGATGCTGGGATGGGGTGACTGACACACATGGAAGGCCCGGCTTCCATACTGAGGGCAGTTGGAGAAGACTGGGGGACAACCCGAAGCTCTCCCAGGAGGTACGGAGACCTCAACAGCGATGAAGCAGAGGAGCTCAGCTCCTCCTTGGTCTTCAGCCCATTCTAAGGCTCCTGGTTTGATTCCACCTTCTGAGGAATCGTGCAAGCAGCCTCGACCTAAAGGGAAGCAGAGGCAAGAACATTTCTTGGGACTTTTCACTTGGCGATCTTGCCAGAATCCTGCATGGACCTGAGGCCCTCTCAGCTGTCCAGGGCCACTTTCTCTAGCTGGACAGGGGTGAGACACATCGTAGCATCCACTGTGGGCTAAGCAGGAAGAAGGGGTGAGGGGGCAGGTGAAGGCAGTGGTGGGGGAGGAGGGGACAGAATCAGGAGATGCTCCCTGGGAGGACACAGGTGTCCAGCTGCAGGGTGTGGGCCCAGCTCCCCTGCCATCTGCATTTAGAGGAAGGGGAAAAGGAGCAGAGTGCGGGAGTGGGTGCAGCTGGAATGTTCTCATGGGCCCTCTACCTAAGAAGGCAGGAGACACGTAGGGCCCGTCTAGGACTTGGGGTCACTTGAGATTCCAGTGTTTGTTCTGTGTGCTTCAAGGCACTAGCTTCTCCCTGTGAGGAGGCAAAGACTCCTGATCTATTCCTGGAGAACCAGAGACCCGCTGGGAAACCCAGGCTGTGCCTACTACTGTGTCTCCAGGCCTCATGGAGAAGAAAGAGTTTGCTTCTCCATGAACACTGGAGGTTCCAGGGCCCAGGCCCACTCACCAGATCCACTTGTCTAAGTCTTCACGTGGGGGTGGCTTGAGACTGGCTGGGTGGAGCACGGGGAGGGGTGACAGCCCCAGGCCTTCCAGACTGTGCCCGTCATACGGAGTCCAAGCTGTTGCCAGGAGGCTGGAGTCTGTCAGACTTTGCCATGGAATCTGGAGTGGCCTTGAAACAGCCAGGGAAGGGGGAGCCGCCCACACAGGACCCAGGACTCGTCCCCGTTTCATCCTGCGGCCACTCGAATGGGAAAGCTCTCAACACAAACACCTGCCCCAACAGAAGAGAGGGATTTACATGAGCTGCTGAACGCTGTGATCTGTCTCTCCTGTTTGTCTCTGTTCCTCATGAGCCTCTCCCAACTCTGTGACATGGTGGTTAGGTCCCCCATGTTACAGCTAAGAAGCCTGAGGCACAGAGCTTAAACAGCCTACTGAAGGCCACACACTGGTAAGGGAAGGGCTGGATATTCACTCAGTAACCAGAGCTGCTCCTGTGTCGCCTAAGGAACAGCAAAAGGACATGAGCATTTTAGCAACTTTTCTGGAAGCAAATCATGTGAGTAGTGAAGTTCAAAGAACGAGCCCAATATTAAGACGGCCATGGAGAAACACACTGAGCAAATATCTAGTGACTTCTCTGTGTCTATCCTGCTGCATTCTGTAAGAAAAGGCTCCCTGTAAGGTCCTTAAAATCTGCAAGGACAATCAATGCATTAATTCCAGGGGCATTGTAGATATTTTGCTTCTAAAGTGTGGGGGTTGGGTGGGGGGAAGGGTAGGATGGCCCGCCCTGAGCAGACACAGCTGCAGAGAACAGATGAACCCGCCCCACCCAGGGGACTGCACTGAACCCACCCCCTCCAAGGGAAGCTGTGTCCTGGCCTCAGTATCTCCAAATGTAACAGGGCCGTGGTATTCACCTGCGAAGATTTCTGTGTTGTAAATTACAGGGCTCTGTAGAGTTATACAAATAAGCCTAGGATTTGAGAAGTCACCAGCTCACAATGATTAATGTAACGGATCGATGATAACACTGTGATAAATTACAAGACATTAATGATCATTATATGCATATTAGGCCCAGAGTCTGGGGGCCGGAAAAGATCAGAAGTCCCCAAATAAGCCCGCCTCTGTTCATCAATATCCCTGCCAGGTGGTTACAAACGGCTCTGAAGTTCTAAATCATTCAGTTGTCCAAGGAAGAGAAGGCAGACGCTCCAAAGAGCTCAGGGCTTCTGACTCCCAGGTTGTGCAGACTCCACCATTCTCGTTCCTTAAAAGACCCCAGAGCCACGACAGAAGACACCCCAGATTCTTCCACGGTGGCCAGCCAGGGCCCCTGCCAAGGAATCTCAGCGATTCTTGAGTTCATGCACCAGGTCAGCTGTGGGCCCCAGGTCATGGAGGAAAGGAAATAAAAGGGGGTAGGGGCCCTGGGCAACTCTGAGGCACAGTGGGTGTCTGTTTAGATGCTTTCGTTACCAGCCAATGGCCTTAGGAACATCGCCTACCTCCTTCCAAGCGCACAGCACGGGCCAGTGTTGGGGCAGCAGCAACTCTGTCCGCACACTGAAGACAGCGCCTCCCTCCCACAAGGGATGGATCCTTTGCTCTCCCTTGACTCTCACTGGAGGCCTAGAACAGTCATTTAAAAATAGTAATCGCACCCCAGGGCCCCAGAGAGGAATCACTGTTCATGGGCTCCCACAACCGTCTGCATGACCCGGCGAGCTGGTGGGTGGACGCGTCCCTTTAGATCTCACTCTATCACAAGGTAAATGCTCAGGGAAGGCTCCCCCACGTGTCCACTAGCCCCAGTGTGGTCAGGTCCCTACTCAACACGGTGGGAGGGCCACAATGCCCCTTCTATTGCACCCCCTCATTGCCCAGCCAGTGCCCTTGAACGTGCCTGTGTGCACATGTGTTGGGACAAGCACGCGCGCGTGCGCAAGCACACACACACATACACACACACACACACAGGATCCAAGTCTTCAGTTCTGAATCAGGACGCCGACCTCACATTCATGCAGTCAAGGCGACTCGGGGCCTTTATTAAGCTTTTCCACTTCATACTGAGTTGTGAGGGGGCTTCACTGAGGCCTGGGTGACTGGCCAGGCTCTCTGAGCCCCTGCTCCAGACAAGGGAAGTTAGGAGGAATAAGATAATGCACAAAAGAGGGGTCTACCCCTGAGGGAAGGGGCTGAGTTTCCATGTTGATGGTAAGTGGGAGGGCCTTTGGGTGCGCCCTGGGACGCAAAGGGGAAGAAGAGCGATGAAGGGAGGGCTCGGCTCGCTCTCCTGGCTGCTCCGCTCTGCTCCGAGAGCTCCCACCGGGTCCACAGCCAGCCCTCTTTATTATGCGCGGGCCGGCAACCTTGGCCTCCAAGGGAACCACGACATGGAAACCTGGACTTCGCTGTCGCCCACAGTGGAGCACGGGCTATTCTGAGGTGGGAACAAGAGGCGGGGCGTGCGTGCAGGCGCCCAAGAGCCAGTCCTACAAGCAGATCCTTTTCCAGATAGCTAACGCTCAGCCCTGCTAAGGTCCCGCTAGAATAGGTAGGTCCTCTTCCCGCCGCCGCCGGGGGCCGCTTCCAGTTCCAGGCCTGCGCTCCCGGGCTTCCACCACAGCCGGCCTGCGCACCGCGGGCCAGTGCCTGTGAAAGGGAGAACGCATCAATCAGACCCTGCCCAGCCGCCCAGGGTGACTGCCCCTCCTCGGCCTCCGAGAACCGGCCACTGGGTCAGCGCCCACACACTCACACGGCGGGGCCCTGAGGCCGGGGCGCCGGGCCTTGCACTCCAAAACTGACTTCAGCTTCCACAAGCCAGAAACCAGCGAGGTCACCGCAGCGCACCGAGCAGGAGTGCGGCCCCCAACCCGGACAGCGGGGCAGTGGCGACCATCGATAGATAGACGGGGGCGCATCTTCAGGAGCCCGCGTGCGGTAAGTGGCCGCCCCCATCGCGGGCGTTAGGGGTCTTCTTGCATCCTTGGAGCAGCGCCAACATTCCCCGCCCAGCAGCGGGGAAGTCACTGAGCTCGCCTCTCGCCAGCCAGCGCTGCCAGACTGAAAATAACCGCCAACGGCCAAGCCTCCGACCGTTAGCCACGCCCAGCACCACGGGCCTCCTCCAGCCAGAGGCTCGGCTGGGAGGGGCGGCACCCCGGGCTTCTAGAAAGTTCCACAGCCTCTGATTGGTCCTAGGCCAGCCTCCTTGGGCAGGAACCTGGCAGGAAAATTCTCCCCGAGGGCTTGTCGGGGAACAGCTGCCCATTGCGGAAACTGGTGGGGGCCTGGGAGCAGCTCCGGGGCGTGGACCAGCCTATGGAAGATCTCTCCTCTCCTCTCCTCTCCTCTCCTCTCCTCTCCTCTCCTCTCCTCTCCTCTCCTCTCCTCTCCTCTCCTCTCCTCTCCTCTCCTCTCCTCTCCCCTCCCCTCCCCTCCCCTCCCCTCCCCTCCCCTGCTCTCCTCTCCCCTCCTCCTCCCCTCCCCCTCTCCTCCCTTCTCTCTCTGTGTGTGTGTGTTTTCTCACCTTTCACATAAATGAAAATTTTCGATTGGCTGAAACTCACATAACATGAAATTTACTTTGAAAGTGTACAATGTAGTGACATTTTTCACACTCCTATTGTGTAGTCATTAGTTCTAATTCCAAAATCCTATAAACATTAAGCAGTCAGCTACTCCTCATTGGGCCATCCCCTCCACCTGAGGCAACTACTAGTCCACTTTCTGTTTCGAGGCATGTGCCTGTTGTGGACAGTTCCTGTACATGGACTCACGCAGTGGGGAACCTTTTGTGGCTGTCTTCTCTGACTTACCAGGTTTGCAAAGTTCCTCTATGTGGGTGCATCTAACAGTACTTTATTTTCAAGACAAAATATTCCGCTGCATGGGTGTGACGTGTACTATCTGTGCATTTATCACTTACTGGACATTTGGCTTGCTTCCACTTTTTGTCGGTTAGGAATAATCCTATGGACCTTGTGTACCATGGTTTTATTTGGACATGTTTTCAATTTTCATGGATATGTATCTAGGATTGAAATTGCTGGTTCATATGGTAATCCCCATACTTATTTTTTAAAAAAAGATTTGTTTATTTGAAAGGCAGAGTTTACACACACACACACACACAGAGAGAGAGAGAGAGAGAAAGAGAGAGAGAGAGAGAGAGAGAGAGAGAGAGAGAGAGAGATCTTCCATCCACTGGTCCATTCTCCAAACGACAGCAATGGCCAGGGCTGGGTCTGGCCAAAAACAGGAGCCAGGAGCCTCATCTGAGTCCTCTGCATGGAATCAGGGGCCCAAGTACTTAGGCCATGTTCAGCTGCTTTTCCAGGTGTGTTCGTAGCGACCTGGATTGAAATGAAGCAGTGGGGACTTGAAGCAGTGCCCATATGGGATGCTGCCATCAGAGGTGGGGGCTTAGCCGGCTGCACCACAAAGCCGCCCCCTCTATGTCTAAATTTTTGATGAACTGCCAAAATGCTTTCTGCAGCAGCTGTACCATTTTACATTCCTGCCAGGATTGTGTAAGGGTTCCGATCTTTCCACATCCTTGTCAAGCCTTATTCTTTTCTTTTTTTAATTTATAGCTATCTTAGAAGTTATAAAGTGGCCTCGTGATTTTGATTTGTACTTCCCTACTCATGGAAGATTTTGAGGCTTTTTAATGTCTTTATTGGTCACATCTTTTTAAAAATATTTATTTATTTACTTATTTGAGAAAGAGAGAGAGAGACAGAAGAGAAAGAGATCTTCCATCTAATGGTTCACTTCCTAAATGGTGGCAACAACCAGGACTTGGCCAGCCAAAGCCAGTAGCTAGAAACTCCATGCTGGTCTCCAGTTTGGGTGGCCAGGGACTCAAGTAGTTGAGCCATCTTCTGCCTCTTTCCCAGGTGCATTGGCAGGAAGTCGGACTGAAAGCAGGGCAGCCTGGACTTGGACTGGCTCTCTGATATGGGATGTCAGCATCACAAATGGTGGCTTCACCCACCGTGCCATATCTTGCTGTATCTTTGGAGAAATGTCTGTCCTATCCCTTTGCCTGCTTAAATCAGTTCTCTTTGTGTTGTTGAATCTTGACAGCTCTTTATATATTGTAGATATTACACCCACCTTAGTATGTGTGAGCTGCTATCACCCCGTGGCATGGGGAGGCCGATAAGTAGTGGAAATGGACTACTTATGATTCTCCAGGCTGGGAAGCCCAGGATCAGGGAGGTGCCAGCGGCTTTGGTGTCTGGTCAGGGCCTGCTTCATAGAAGGCCATCTTCTCACTGCGTCTCCCCGTGATGAGGCAACAAGGGGAGCTCTTGAAGTTGTCTCAAGCCTCTTTATAGAGGTGCTAATCCCATTTATGAGGGCCCCTGTAAATCAGCTCACCAAGGCCCTGCCTCCCACTGTTACCACAGGGGGAGGATTTCAACACATGAATTTTGGGAGAAAAATGTTCAGTCCATAGCAAGTTCCTTACAGGATATATGATTTGCAAATTTTTTTTTTCCTGGGACTGGTGCTGTGGTGTTGTGGGTAAAGCCGCTGCCTGCCGTGCTGGCATCCCATATGGGCGCCAGTTCAAGTCCCTGCTGCTCCACTTCTGATCCAGCTCTCTGCTGTGGCCTGGGAAAGCAGTAGAAGATGGCCCAAGTGCTTGGGCCCCTGCACCCGTGGAGGAGACCTGGAAGAAGCTCCTGGCTTCGGATCAGCGCAGCTCTGGCCATTGCGGCCATCTGGGGAGTGAACCAGAGGTGGAAGACCTCTATCTCTCTCTGCCTTTCCTTTTCTCTGTGTAATTCTGATTTTCAAATAAATAAATAAATCTTTAAATATATTTTTTCCCAGTTTGTTGGTTGTTTTCCCACTTTCTTGATAGTGTCCTCTGATGTACAAAATTTTTAATTTGGATGAAGTCCAATGTATCTTTTTAAAAAATTTTCTCCTATTTGTGCTTTTCATGTGGTATCTAAGAGTCCATTTCCAAATCCAAGGTCATGATGATTTATACCTTCTTTTAAAGTTAGCTTTTTGCATTTATAGTTGGTCTTTTAGCATTTAAAAATAGTCTGTATATGATTTGAATAAGGGGACCAGTTTAATTCTCTTGCATGTGGATAACCAGTTGCTACTGCACCATTTAATGAAAATACTATTATTTCCCCACAAAATGGTCTTAAAACCTTTACAGAAACTCAGTTACTCATAGGTGTGTGAGTTATTTCTGGGCGTTATACTTTAATTCACTGATCTTTTATTTTTATTACGCTTTTATTTTTTCATAAGTCAGTTTCTGTAGTTTCTAGTCTAGGAATTTGTCCATTTCATTTATCTATTGTGTTAGCATACAATGAGTTACCGATTGTGAAAAGCTTGCCCCAGCAAGCTTTGTGGGTTCTTTCTCTCAGCTTAGTATAGAAACAAAAAGCCGGGAAACAATTAGCAAAGAAGCAGAAACTTTTATTTGATTGGCAAGTGACAGAATGGCGTCTGGACCAAGAGGAGAGCAGGCGTGTGCCCAGGGTTTTGCGTGCCCAGGGTTTTTAAGGCATTCCTGTCTGTTCATTGGGTCATTCTGTTGGGGGTGCCCCTTGGACAGGGCGGGAGGGTGTTTCACATATGGTATGTTGATCAGCTTGGGGCTCATGGAGACAGCCAGATTCTCCTTAGGGGCTCAGCTCCCTCCTCTGCTAGCTCTGGGTAGAAGATTGTAGCTAAATTGAAGTTGTGATTTAAAACCACTGGTCACACATGCAGCACATGATGCTGGAGTCGATGCCTGCAGGTCTGGAGACAAGATTTCCAGCCACAGGTGGTGGCCTATTTGTGGAAGATACTCTACCTATGTCTGAGAGGCCCATGGACCCCTAAGCCCACTGCACGGCTTCACAGTGGATCACAATATTCCCTTAAAAATCCTTTTATTTCTGTAAGGTCAATAGTAATAGTCCCCTCTTTCATTACCGATTTTAGTAATTTAAGCTCATCTGAATTCTCTTCATTTTCTTGATCATTTAAAAAATTTTTTAAATTTTGTCACTCTTTTCAAATAGCAAAATTTTGGATTTGCTCATTATCCCAATTATTTTTCTTTTTTCTTTCTTTCTTCTTCTTTTTTTTTTTTTTTTTTGACAGGCAGAGTTAGACAGTGAGAGAGAGAGAGACAGAGAGAAAGGTCTTCCTTCTGTTGGTTCACCCGCCAAATGGCCACTACAGCCGGCGCACTGCACGGATCCAAAGCCAGGAGTTTCCTCCTAGTCTCCCATGCGGGTGCAGGGCCTAAGCACTTGGGCCATCCTCTACTGCCTTCCCAGGCCACAGCAGAGTGGGACTGGAAGAGGAGCAACCGGGACAAAACCAGCGCCCTAACCGGTACTAGAACCTGGAGTACTGGTGCCACAGGTGGAGGATTAGCCTAGTGAGCCATGGCGCTGGCCATCCCAATTATTTTTCTATACTCTGTTTCATTTTCCTCTTCTCTAATCTTTATTATTTTCTTTCTTCTGCTTGCTTGAGGTGTAGTTTCCTTTGAAATCATATAGGAAAAAAAAAGAGGAGTCACAAACCAGAAATATAGTAATACGGACTTTTGTATTTCCCTTTACTAGTGTTAGTTATGTTTTTCATGTGGATTTCTGTTGCCGTATCGTCTCCTAGCATTTCAACTTCAAGGTCTTCTTCCAAATCTACCAGCCACACACTCTCTTGAAATTCTGTTTATCTGGAAATATCTTAATTTCTCCTGTTTCAAGGATAATTTTTCCAGATAGATCATCCTTGATTGACAGGGTTTTTTTTGTTTGTTTGTTTCTTTCAGCACTTTGACTATATCAGTTCATTTCCTTTTTGCCTCCATGGTTTCTAGTGAAAAACCAGCTCTTAATTGGATTTTGAGGGTCTCTTTTTGTCTTTGTCTTTCAACCGCTTGACAAAATAAGCTTTGCTGTGGATCTGTTTGAACTTATCCTATTTGGAGTTCATTGAGCTTCTTGGATGTGTAGATTTGTGTCTTTCACAAAATTTGGGAGGTTTTAAACTATTTCTTGGAACATAGGTAAAATTGTTGCTTTAAAGCCCCAATGCCTGAACTTCCTTAAGGATAGTTTGTCTCAACTTCCTTTTCCCTATTCACGGGCCGTATTTTCATGTTCATTTGCATGCCTCGTAGTATTTTGTTGAATCTTGAACATTTTGAATGTTATAATGTGGCAGCTCTGGAAATTAGATGCACACACCCACCCACCACCCACTCACTTCCAGGATATGCTGTTGCTGCTGGTTGCATTGGTTGTTTGGTGGTGTGCTTTACTGCTTTTTCTGAACCAATGTTGTAGAGTTGATGCATTTTGTCAGGTATGGTTACTGAAGCCTTTGTTCCATTAGAACAGTGATCAGCTAGTGAGGGAACAAGAAACTTCCTTAAACATTCAGACTCAAGAGGGAAAAAGTCCCAGTTGTTGC